TTAGTAAGGGCTATTATTGCAAAAGATGTGCAATTTAGCTTAAAAATGCAAATATAATTACGAAAAATGCACAAAAAATATTTAAACACTATGTTTGTATAAATAATGAATTTTGATGGCTAAATCGTCATAAAAGTAATTGAAGGATAATTATTGGATATTTATATAATAAAAAGAGGAGAAATAAATTGATTTGGAGCTTTTAAAACTATAGAAAAAATTATAAAATACTTATGCATGCTTATAACTGCATATGTACTATTTTGAAAGTATATATATGTATTAAAAATATGTGAGGGAAAAATTAGGTATCAACAACGGCGGCTGTGGCAGAGGCGACGACATTAGTGGGTTCCATCCGTGTCCTCAGATCTGAGCGGGAAACTGAAGTGGAGACGCATGCGCTTAAGTAGGTGAGACTCGAGGAATAGATTGGTGGCCTAGAAATAGGGTTTTGGACCTGAACGAGCAGATTGCCGTCCTCAAGGCCGAGAAGGCGCAACTGTTGGCTCGATCGTCTTCCTCCCATGCTTCCACTTATCCCGATGCTCCACGAGATTTGCATGAGAAGTGGGTTCATGATGAGGCTTATCTAGACATATTAAGGGGCTTGATGATGGCTGGGAAAGCTTTTGATGCAGAATTTGAGGATGCTCGTGTTAAGGCACGTACAGCTCGGGAAGCTTGTGGCTATGATCCCGGTACGCCCGGGGAGGGTGATGTTGAAAATGACATAGGCGGGCTTGAGCCAGATGCTTGGTATGACGATGAATACTCCGATGGCGAGGGTGTTGGTGATGATGGCGAAGGGGGTGAAGCTGCCGAGTAGTGTACTCGTTTTTTTACTTTTGTTGTTCTCTTTTTTTCTTGGGCGTTTGTTTGGCCTTTGTAAGACGTCTTTTGGAATGATACTTTTGTTGTGTGTTTCTGAGTTTCTTCTTCTTATTATTATTTTTTGAACATCTTCCTCGGTTGAATGCTTTGATTGCAACTCAATTAGGCCAATTATAAGTAGAGCTCATGCTAGTTTGAATCGTTTCTTAATTACCTAAGTTGTGTGTATGCAAGTGTCTTAATTAATTCGAACGGGGTCGAATGTAAGTCGATTCGAGCGAGGTTGAATGTTGACTTTAAAATTAATTCGAACGAGGTCGAATGTAAGTCGATTCGAGCGACGTCAAATATTGACTTTAAAATTAATTCGAACGAGATCGAATGTGAGTCGATTCGAGCGAGGTCAAATATTGACTTTAAAATTAATTCGAACGAGGTCAAATGTAAGTCGATTCGAGTGAGGTTGAATGTAAATCGATTCGAGTGAGGTCGAAAGTCGATTCGAGCGAGGTCGAATATTGACTTTAAAATTAATTCAAACGAGGTCGAATGTAAGCCGATTCAAGGGAGGTCAAATATTGACTTTAAAATTAATTCGAAAGAGGTCGAATGTAGTTTCCTGGATTGGTGTAATGTATAAACTTGGTGGAGAAACGTGAACATAATGTGTTTGCGTATTTCGCTTTGTTTATTCATTCATTGGAGAAGTTTACATGTTTTTACTCCGTTCCTGCATACAACGGAGAAGTCACAGTTTATCTAGTCCCTTTATTGGTTGACCTGGAAAAGTAGTTGAGAGGTCGAGCGATGAACTTATACTCCACTTCGATACGCCCTCTTCATCGCCTCGTTAAAAACCTCTTCGAGAAAACCCAATTGGGACAAAATTCGGGTGAGGGAAAAAGAGTACGACTTAAGGGGCGTCTATCCTTAGAAGTTGAAGTATTTGAGGTGGGCGACGTTCCAATTGTTTGGTAGTAATTTTCCCTCCATTGTTTCTAGCTGGAACGACCCTTTGTTTACTGTGGCCGTGATTTTGTATGGGCCTTCCCAATTGGTCCCCAGCTTGCCTTCTCGTGGATCCTTGCTCGCCTGTGTTTTGGTTTTGAGTACATAGTCCCTAACTTTGAGTGGCCTGACTTTGGCTTTTTTGTTGTAGTACCGCTCTGCCTGTTGTTTTTGGGCTACCATTCTTATGTAAGCCATGTCTCTTCGTTCTTAGGCCTCGTCGAGGTCTTGCCTTCTGCTTTCATTGTTGCTTGGCCCGCTCTCATTTGAATATCTTAGACTTGGTTCTCCAACTTCGGCTGGTATCACTGCTTCAGTCCCATAGACTAGTGAGTATGGCGTTCCCCCTGTGCTTGTCTTTGGCGTGGTGTGGTATGCCCACAACACTTCTGGTAGCATCTCTGGCCACAGTCCCTTGGCGTTTTTGAGTTTCTTTTTCATGATATTCAATATCATTTTGTTGGAGGATTCGTCTTGTCCATTGCATGCAGGGTGATATAGCGTGGAGAGTATTATTTTGATATGCCATTTTTCGAAGAACTCGGTGACCTTCTTCCCTATAAATTAGGGTCTGTTGTCACAACTAATTTCTTTAGGAATGTCGAAGCGGCATACAATATTCCTCCATATGAAAGTGATCACTTTTTGTTCGCGTATTTGGGCGAATGCACCTGCTTCTACCCATTTAAAAAAATAGTCAGTCAAAACTAAAAGAAATCGTACATTACCTCATCCTGCGGGAAAGGGGACGGCGATATCCATTCCCCATTTGATGAAGGGCTAAAGCGAAGTGACTGAGTGGAGGTGCTCGCCCGCTTGGTGGATCATGGGGGCGTACTTTTGGCATGGTTCGCATTTTTTAACAAAATCAACTGCTTCCTTTTTTATTGTGGGCCAGTGTAGCCTGCTCGTACGAGACATCTAACTAGGGCTTGATTGTCAGTGTGAGCCCGATAGTGACCCTCATGGACCTCTTCTAGGACGCGCCATGTCTGGTTTGGTCCCAGATATTTTGCTAGAGGGCCACCATACGTCCTTTTGTATAGATCGTTGTTGATGATGTTATACCTGGCTGCTTGCATTTGAAGCTTTTGGCTTCTTTTTTGTCGTTTGGGAGTACGCCATCCTGCAGGTAGGCGATAATATTATTGTGCCAGACCCAAGTTAGGTTAATAGTGCGTACCTCAATTTGGTCGATGGTCAAGTGGAGGAGAGAAGTGACCACATTCCCTTTTCCGGTTATGCTTTTGGTGGCTGCTGCCAATTTGGCGAGGTCATCCGCCTCGATGTTTTGTGCTCGAGGTATTTAGTCGAGCTAGTATTCGTCAAACTCGGGCGATAACTTGCAAATCTCGGCCTGATATTTTTGTAGCCTTTGTTCCTTGATTTGGCAAGTCCCTGTGACTTGATTGATGACGAGTTGTGAGTCTCATCAAAGGACTACCCGTTGTGCTCCATAGTTGAGTGCCAGTTTTAAACCTGCAATCACGGCCTCATACTCGGCCTCATTGTTAGTCATATCGGGACACCGTATGGACTAACGAATTATCTCGCCTGTCAGGACCTCGAGTTCGAGTCCCAGTCCATATCCTAATGCATTGGAGGCGCCATCGGTGTACAGAATCCATAGATCGTGCGTCTTAGGGAAGTATCAGTGTCTTCCCTTTCGACCTCGGGCATTATTTTAGCGCTGAAGTTAGCAAGTACTTGCGACTTTATCATTGTTTGCGGCTGATAGGTTATATCGTGCTTGCTCAACTCAATGGCCCATTTGGCTAACCTATCCGACAGCTCGAGCTTGTGTAGGATGCTCCTTAGAGGAAAGGTTGTGACTACCGAGATGGGTTGGCACTGGAAATAACGTTAAAGGTTTTGTGAAGCTACGACTAAAGCCAAGGCTAGTTTTTTGAGGTGGGGGTACCTCGTTTCAGCATCGACCAAGGTCTTGCTAATGTAGTAGATTGGAGATTGCGTACCTTTATTTTCTCGGACCAGGACTATGCTTACTGCAACATCAGATATGGCCAGGTATATTAGGAGGTGTTCTCCGGGTTCTGCCTTAGCAAGTAGTGGGGGCGAAGATAAGTACGCCTTTAGTTCTCTCAAGGCGTCGACGCACTCGGAATTCCATTGGAGTCCGTTGTCCTTTTTGAGCATGATAGGGCAGCTATACGGCCAGCCAGCTTCTGCACCTGCTTCTTACTGGTCAAGTTTTCCGGTATTCCTTCTATAGACTTAATTTGGTCGGGGATAACCTCGATGCCTCTTTGCGACATCAAAAAGTCGAGGAATTTTCCTGAGGTTACACTGAAGGCGCATTTCTCGGGGTTCAATTTCATGCCTTACCTCCTGAGTATGTCGAAGGCTTCCCTCAAATGTTCAATATGGTCTTCCTTTCTTTTCGACTTGGCCAACATGTCGTCAATGTATACTTCCATGGTTTTGCTAAGGTGCTCTTTGAACATTTTGGTTACTAGCCTCTAGTATGTCGCCCCTGCATTTTTTAATCCAAACGACATAACTCTATAACTGTGCGTCCCTTGGTGGGGTGATGAAAGTGGGTTTTTCCTGGTCTTCCTCCTCCATGAGGATCTTGTTGTAAACTAAATGGGCGTCAAGGAAACTTAGCAACTCGTGCCCTATTGTTGCATCGATGAGCTGATCAATGCGAGGCAGTGGGAACTAGTCTTTCGGGCATGCCTTGTTCAGATCTGTGAAGTCTACGCACATTCACCATTTCCCATTTTTCTCTTTTACTATGACTACATTGGTGACCCATTAGGGGAATTTAGACTCCTTGATAGAGCCGTTTTCAAGTAACTTTTCCACCCCTTCTCGGACGACATCATTTATTACGGTGTTGAATTTTCTTCTAACCTGCCGTAACGGGGGGTATAGTAGGTCGGCGTTCAATTTGTGTATTGCTATGTCGTTGAGGATTCCTAGCATATCTGCATGAGAGAAAGCAATCAAGTCTGCATTGTCAGTTAGAAATTGATGGAATTTACCTGGTTCTTATAGTTTGTGTCCAATATAGGCCTTTTTACTATGGTCGCTCTTGTCGCGCTATACGGGGTCGAGGTTTTCCACAATTGATCCTATAGCTTCCACAACATCGGGTTGTTTGATGACATATTTCCCTTCTGTGCCTTTGCCCTTTAACTGTTGAGTGTAGGTGCAGTCTTGGCGATACAGTATAATTCTTGGGTTGTGCGCTGCTCGCCGCGGATGCTGAATACTCCCCATAGGGTAGGAAACTTGACGACCTGATATAAGCTGGATGGGACGACCTTCATATCGTGTATCCATGACCGTCGTATGATGGCGTTGTACGGCGTATCTTGATCTATAATGTGGAACGTTGTTTCCAAGGTGATACCACTGGCCAGAACGGGTAGTATGATTTCTCTGGAAGTTCGCTCAACTGCATTGTTAAAACCTCTTAGTGTGATGCAGCTTGGCTCTATCTTATCTTCAAGCCTCATTTGTGTGAGGACTCGAGGGTGGATAATGCATGAGCCACTTCCATCATCTACCATAATCCTTTTCATATCGGTATTTGAAATACGCAAAGTAATAACAAGATCATCATAGTGAGGAAAGGTCAAACCGTGGGTATCCGACTTATCGAAGATGATACTTTCTTCGAGGTCGTCATACTGTTTATGGGTGATTGATTGCTTCAGCTTATGGGTGGATGTGAACTTCACATTGTTGATTGACACCTGGTTGGCTCCACCAATGATCATTTAGATGGTGTGGGCTGGGGAGGGTGGCCTAGGCAGTCCTTGATACTGTTCTCATCCCCGAGCAAAGTTTGCTCTTCCTTGTCACTCATTAATTCTCTCAAATGCCCTTGGTAGAGCATGTTCACTACCTCTTGCCTCAAGGCGATACAGTCCTCGGTCTTGTGACCTCGTTTCTGCTGGAATTCATATAGAGCATTCGACTTTGTTGTGTTTGGGTCGGACTTCATCTTTTGTGACCATTTCACTTTTGGCCGAGCTTCTCTAGAGCGTAGACTATCTCTGAAGGAGAAACACAAAAATTGTGAGTAGATAGTAGCAGAGGCATACCTATCTCGTTTCGGTGAGTGGGGGGTCTACATCCTGGATAGACTGTCACCATGGTGGGGGGAGGGGTGGTATGACGACAGCTCTGACATATGGTTGGTGTCTTTCACGGTCGGGGCGTGGACCTGGATCGTTCCTTCTGTTATCATTTCTACGGTCTTTTCTCGCCTCCATTTACACTGATGTCAACTATTGGGTTGGTTCATTGAGGTCGTCCTCATATGCTCTCACCTCGGCGTTATAGGCATTATGTATTTCATCCCAAGTTGTATGGGGTATTTCATGAGTCGACTTAACAATTTCTTGGTTGCCTTCAAACCGCTAACAATTTCTTGGTTGCCCTCAAACCGCTCCTATTCAGCCTATTTTGGAATGCTGCTACAACCATTCCTTCTGACACATTTGAAAGAGTCATTCTAACACGGTTGAAGCAAGCAAGGAAGTCCCTGAGCCCTTCGCTAGGTGACTGTTTATTGGAGAATATATCGTTTACCCTCGCCTCCGCTTTCTTGGCCTCGGCGTGTGTAGTGCCAAACTTGTCGGCCATTTCCTCAAATATTTCTATGGACCGTGCTGGCAGTTGTGAGTACCACGTCAGTGCTCCCCCGGTTAGGGTTTCACCAAATTTTTTCAGCAATATGGATGATACTTGCTCTTTGGCGAGATCGTTGCCCTTTACTGCGGTGACATAGTGGGTGACATGATCCTCAAGGCCGTTGTGCCGTCATATATCTTCAAGTATGGCGGCATCTTGAATGTTTTAGGTATAACATGGGGTGCATCCTCGTTGTTGTATGGTTGTTCTACAAACCGGTCGGCATCCCGTTTTGGTATAAGCTTTGGGGCGCCTGGTATCTTATCTACCCTTTACCGGTGCTCCCTCATTTGGTCGCGGAGTGCTTTGTTCTCGTTCTCCATCTCCTTTATTTTTCTTAGAATAGATGTAAGGGTGTCGTTACTTGCATCATTAACAGTGTGAGTGATACCTATTAAAGGAGGAGAGACGTGCTGCTCAATGGTTGTTGTTGTGATGTCGACTCGTGCATCTTCCCTACTCGCCCTTTGGGCAGGTTTGCCGAGTATGCTGGTTAGCGTATTCGTTAGCCATGCTTCTAGTAGTTTTTTTTCACTGCTGGTGGTGCTTCTTCCATTGTGGACGTAGAGGCTCCTTTTCCATGGGAGGTGGTAACGCTGCATAAGGAAGAGGTGAACCACTTCGTCTAGGGGAAGTGTTTGTTGTCACGTTCTCCTCGTCTTCTCCATTAACTTCGTTGATGGTGTTTAGGAGGTTAGCGGTGAGGTCCGCCACTGCCTTCAATTGTTTCTCTCCATTTCCTGCCATGTTAGGCTATGCAAGCTGAAAAAAGAAATTTTTGTGTTTTTTTTAGATCTAGAAAAACTATGACTTTGACTAGAAAATCCCCACATATGGCGCCAAATTATTTGACCAAAAAATATTAAGTCTTTTTGTTAAACTAATTAAATAAGATGATAATGGGTAAATCCTAGTTAAACATAATAAATCCTAGATCTGAAATTGGTTAATATGAACAACGTATAACTGCACTTAAACCAATTTAATACAAAGGGTGTGTTTAATGGTATTATTATGAGTGCATGGGGAATAATGGCAAGCAATAAATATGTCAAGCGGCAATGAATGTAAATAGAGAGAATACTTCACCCAAATATTCAATGAGGTGGATGATTCTTCCTCTGAAAATGATGTAAGACAAACAAACGTGGGAGGTATAAAAAGCTTTCTCGGATCTAATGCGAGAAAGTGTGGAATCGATAAAAAATCGAATCTTTTTGTAAAGACAATGTTTGTGATTTTCTAGAGAGTCCACTTTTCATGAGAAAACTTATCATATATCATCTTACCTGCCTTTTACCCTTTCTCTTCTACTATTTATATGGAATATTTCCAAAAACCCTAAAAAAGTAAAATAGAGGGAATATTCAACAGAATAATTCCTTTGAAAGTTCCAAAACTATTCTAGCCGTTGTTCCTTTTCCTGCTACTCGCCCTCGGCGGCCCCATATTGTCAAGTCCAGGTCGACCTTGGCTTGGTCGCCCATGATGGGACACAGTCCTCATACTTGATCACCTCTTCATGCCGAATTTCCTTAGCCGGGTTTTGACCCATACAGAACTGAAGATAGCAATCTGGGTCTAAGAGATGGTGGGGAAGAAGACAAGGAGAAGAGAGAATAGGGAGATGGGGGAATCAAGGGAACAATTGTTTGGCTTAATTTGTGAAATGACCAAAAAGCCTCCCATGCTAATGTGCTGGCACTAAAATCTAAGGGCATTTCTGAGAAGTCAAATATATATATATA